TAACGCTGTCCCTTTAACCTCGAACACTCTAGTAGCGCATGCGTGTAAAATCTGCGAACGGACCGTTGATTCGTTTCAGGGGTTGCGTCAGCATATGTGTAAAGCGCATTCGGCAATGTACTACGCAGAGGCGCACGGTTTAGATGATTCGTCTCTTCCAGTGTCGTCATGTGAGAACCAGGTGTCAGGGAGGGATTCTCCCAGCGTAAATGAGGGGAGTGACTCTATCCGTCCTTTGGGTGATACGGTAGAACTAGATTCCTACAATTCCCCTCCATCTCCGTTGCCGTTGGTAAACGGCGGGAATCGGACGTGTTTCTCGCCGCTCCTCGCTTTATAGTGTTGCGACCGGTCAAAGTGCGCCGACAATAGTGTGTGTGACATCAAAAGAACCGTCCCGTTACAGGTTCCATTTTGGTATTAATCCGAACCCGATCCAGCAAGCGGTTCGCGAGTTATCGAATTTTTAATACTCAAAAGTCCGGCCTCGGCTGACTCATAGCGGCCGTCGGTTAGTGTAACGGTCGTTGCCCGTCCTCGCCACTCCTACCATCTCGCTACACACGTACGTCACTCGTTCACGTCATCTTCCGAGCCCCTCCGACGTCCACGCTCGAGACCGTCTTCGCGCCTTCGGAATTCGCCGTCGGGCACTTTCCATCGGCTATTTTCCATCCCTGCCGGTCTAGCCTCGCGCCATTCCCCCGACGCCGACAACCGATAAATGCCTTTTCTGGAACAGCCCCCATCCGTCCGTCTCGCTCGGAACACGTAAGTCTGCCATTTCCGCCCGCGACGCTCTCCACCCACGACCCCCATTCACGCCCCCCAAATTTTTGACCCCGGATTTGGGCTCCGCTATATTCGGACTCCCTGAGGTCAGGGAAGTCCGAATCCACCATCAGCCCAACTTGGACGCCCCTGACGCCTTGCCTATAAACACAGAATTCGCCACCTTGTGGGTATTTTCTCCGGGAAAAAAATATTTTCGACATATCAGGTGTAACAGTTACTTTTTACTCCAGAGTGTTCCATGGAACTGCTTAAATCCGAAATACTATACAAATAGAGATCAACAATTAATTTTAAATAATTTCTCTAAATTTTCGCGGTTTGCCGACCACTTTAAAAATTCACTTTGTTATCAATAGCCAAGTTTTTCTGATCCAGCTCTAAAAAGAAACGGGAAAGATAAGAGGATCGCAGTCAGTATAATTTTACCAGTCATTCGAGTGACACCTTTTTAAGTTTTGCAAGAATACTAATTCAAAATTCCAAGTGTTAGGGGAATTTTCGAATACAGCCCATTTCCAGAGCGTGGTGCTGGATGTATAATTTTGCAAGCTAGGTGCATTCCTTTCCTTTGGTTGAAATAGAAAGAAACACACGCGGTGAAATGCCGGATTTGAAATAAAAGGCGTCTTCTCGAATATCAAGCTACCTACACGCCATCAAAGGTAAAAATACATATTTATTTTTCCCAGGGAATCGCTAGAATGATTTCTATATAATAGTTTCGGCCTTATATTAATATTAAATGTGCTTGCAACATCTGCGATATTTGAAAGTTACGTGAAACACGCATTCAACAAACTAATTAATATTCAATTCTTGAAATAACAGGCTTTTTTGGGGTACGTGTTTCGCGACCGATGCAGGCTTGCCATCCAGAATACCATGCTGTTGAGTCCCTGTAATTCCCTGTAAGACAAGGATTTAGGGAGTACTTAGTTAGAGGAAAAGGGAATACCTTCCAGTTACCCAAGTCAACGTCCAGAAATCGCCCCGCCACTACACGAGGTCCCCATGGGGGAACAGCCCGAAGAAGGAGAAAATCACCAAGTCGTAATGTTGTCTCAATCTATAATTTTTCTTTAGTTTTTTTTGAGGTCGTAATTTTCCGAGATAATCTAGTATTAACCAGTTTGAAACGTTTAACACTTAGAAGATTGAGTTTATTATAATTATTTTAGCGGGAATTTGTTAACAACGTATATCTCTGTCGAATTACCGTAATTATATTATATCTTAAGCTAGTCTATGTTGTCTTATTTGGTATAAGTCCTTTGTGTTGGCCTAGAGATCTTGCTTTCGAATTTAGGTGGGCACTATGTAAAGAGTGACCAAACGTGTAAGGTTGTGATAAATTCGTAGCGTCCAGGTATATATATTTTTTTGAGCTGATCATTGTGCACCCACACCTTTCTGACTGGGTTAGTTGGCCATAACCCTACACGAGCCCTTTATAGAAAGAATTACGTCACACAGGGCCTCAGCGTTCCATTTCTAACACCCCGCACCCCCAGCTGCTCACCCTTCCCCTCGACGTGCCCCAACCGCCCGTTCCAGTTGCACCAGGGGAGGCGCACGCTGTCTCGCTCCCCCCCGGAGAGGAGCTCAAGTAGGGGTCACTGGGACCCCTGCATCTTCCCTCCTCTCTCCTCTCTCGCGACCACCACCCGCGTCGCGCTACGACACCCCACGCCCTCCCCCAGCACCGTCATCTGTCACCGCAATGGCCTTCGTCTTCGATGCTTGCAACTGCACCTTCCCGGACCCAGCTGCACTGGAGGAGCACTCCTGCATCCCCAAAGCCACCCCTCCACCCGTAGGGCCGCCTTTCATCTGCGGACTCTGCGGAAGGCTGCTGCAGACGAAATCCGGATGGACACGCCACGTCCGCGCTGATCGCAGAACACCGCGGCAGAAATTTACCTGCCTAGGCTGTGGCAAAGAATACCGCCACTCCTCCAGCCTCCGGCGCCACAACGACGTCTGCGGTGCCGCGGCTCAGGTGGCCCGGGCTCCCAACCCACAGGGCGTCCCCTTCTGCCAGACGATCTACCACTAGTCGGCTTCCCCCCTGATCCTAGCGTCGTGATACCAGCCCCCTGAATGGACGTTACTCCGTACCGTCTTGGTACCCAAAACAGGAAAGGACAAGAAACAGGCTAAGAACTGGCGACCCATCACCATCGGGTCGGCAGTGCAGAGGCTCCTCCACCGGGTTCTTATACCCAAAGTTAGCGCCACCGTCAGCCTTAATAGAAACCAGCGGGGCTTCGTCCCCACTGACGGCTGCCTTGCCAACGTCTTCATTCTAGACTCGCTCATGGGGGAACGAACATCTGCCCGACGAGGCCTGGCGCTAGTCTCGCTAGACATTCGTAAAGCTTTTGACTCGGTATCCTACCACTCCATTACACGGGCCCTACAGAGAACCGGGGTCCCCGAATACTTGAGCAGTTACATCCAGGCCAAGCTCCAGGGCGCCGTCACTTCCTTTCAAGTCGGCCGTTCCTCTACGAGAGCTCTCGAAATCAGGCGTGGAGTCCGGCAGGGCGACCCCTTCAGCCCCCTGCTATTCAACCTTGTTATTGATGAATTCCTGGACACCCTCGACTCCATGACTGAAAACGGCTGCCCCTTCCACAGTGGTTCCCGATGCCGAGTCCTCGCCTTCGCCTTGGTCGGCGACGACGTTAAAGACGTCAGCAAGCTGCTCGATACCACCTCCTCATTCTTCGACCGGAGAGCGATGGTTCTGGACCCTGATAAATGCCGAGCCCTCGTCCTGGCGCGCTCCCCCCAGGCAACATTTACCACATAACAAAACCGGGGATTCGAATCAACGGGAAGGCCTTATCTACCATCACCGACGTAAATCCGATGCAGTACTTAGGGTACGCGTTCGACACGCACGGCGTCATGAAGCCTAATCTCACAAACTTCTCCGCATGGCTCCAGCGCCTAGTTACCCTGTCCCTGAGCCCTCACCAGAAGCTCACACTGCTACGGGTACACCTTCTACCACGCCTCCTTCATTTTCTTATGTCCCCGAGGACCCCCGTCGCTACTCTGAAGAACGTGGATAAAGTTACACGCCATTACATCAAGCGTATTGTACATCTCCATCTCCACACGGCCGATGCCCTAATCCACGCCCCCCTAAAAGACGGGGGTCTCGGCATCTGCCAGGTAGCAATATCTATCCCCACCATCCTCCTTCGACGTATCACCAAGCTCAAGTCCAGGAACCCGGACGACGCGGTCCTCCTCGCGGCCCTATCCTCGGTCCGGGTTGCAAACCTCATCTCGAAGCAAGAAGAACTAGGTAACAAATACCCACCCACCTACCACCGCCGCGAGATCTCAGAAGGGGCCTTCTCTAAGGGCCTGGAGAAAGCCAAGGAAGACCCCTCCTCCCGGCGCTGGATCATCGAACGTCCCCGGGGCTGGTCTGGTTCGGACTGGGTTCGTGCAGTTCACCTTCGGACCGCGAACCTACCCACGCTTGGCATCATGAGCAACCCCGCGGCACTCAGGGGCTGTCGGGGTGGCTGCAAGGCCCACGAAACCATATGCCACGTCCTCCAGGCATGCCCCATTTCCCATGACTCCAGGGTGGTAAGGCACAACAACATCGCGGCCAAGATCGCCGCCCACTGCACAAAAAGGGGGTGGTCCACACTGGAGGAGCCACATGTCCGGCACCCGGACGGCACGCTGTATAAGCCGGACGTGGTGACTTTCCCCTCTCCCAACACTGCAATCATCTGCGACGTTCAGATCAGTTGGGAGACCTCGGAACCCATGAAATCCATCTGGGACCGGAAACGCCTGGCATATGATAACGCCAAATTCCGGGAAGCCGCCCAAAAGAAATGGCCCGACGTGGCCTTAACTTTCTTACCTTGCACCATCGGTGCCAGAGAGAACTGGCCTGCCTGTAACAAGCCCCTCCGTAAGGTTATCGCCTCCGTACTTAAATGAGGGTGCTCGGCTCACCGCTCTTTTATTAAGAGAGTCTGGAAAAGGCAGGACCAAAAGGACCTTCGCTCCGGCGGCCGCGGCAACACCACCCACCCCCCTGCCTCCCAAACACCAGCGCCATAGCCCACGTTCGTGGACCCATACTGCCCAGCAGTTGTAATTATAATACTAGTTAGGTCAACTAGTTAAACTCTCAAAAGTTACCTGTACCAGCTAGTTTCAATCGCATGTCATTCATCGGTAAAAGAGCTGCCAAGAGAGAATATCACCTACTCTCTCTCGATGTACGCAAAGCTTTTGACTCTGTTAGCCAGGAGGCGGTGATCTAGGCTTTAAGAGCAAAGGGCATCAGAGGAACCCTCTTGAGCTACGTTCGAGAATCTCTAATGGGTTCGCAAACGGTACTGAAGGTGGGTCGGGGCAGCACGAGGCCTATTAAGATCATGAGAGGAGTCACGCAGGGTGACCCTCTGAGTCCTCTGCTGTTCAATATTCTGTTGGACCCGATTGTTAAGGACGTTAATGATACCTTCACTACACTTCAAACATTTTTTAGGGTGGGCCACCCTTATCACTTAGGGGTTTAAAAAATAGTTTACAACTTATTGTCAGACCTACCGAATATACATAAAAAATTTCATACAAATCAGTCAACCCATTTCGGAGAAGTTCGGTTACAAACACTGTGACGCGAGAATTTTATACAAGATGCATTATTATTTTAGAACAAATTTCATTACCATAAAAAAGGTTATACTGACTCGACCTTAAAAGATAGACATATGCTGTCGCGGACTTTTCTTTAGAACTTTTAGAGGGGAACAATTTCGTCATACATGATTTTTACGTAACTTTAACCGTTTAAGCAGCGTAAGCAACGGAAGCTGTCAAAGGAGGAATAATTTTCCCGTTTTTCCGAATTTTTCATTGCTACTTCGCTCCTAATGATCGTAGCGTGATGCTATATAGCCTATATGTAGATACATGGACTATCCAACACAAAAAAATTTTTTGAATTTGAACCAGTAGTTTCTGAGATATGCGTGTTCAAATAAACAAAAGCTTCAGCTTTATTATATAAGTATAGATTAGACTGTTTCTTTTTTGTACAGTATAATCCGGTTGTAACGAATACCGGATATTACGAAATACCGGTTATAACGAGCACATCTAGTGGAAAAGTTTGGTTCACTATGCACATGCGTATAAAAATATTCGTATATAACGAGACCGGTTATAACGACAATCCGGTTGTAACACCATACATATTTGAAGGTTACGCCAGAAAATCCTGATATATTTCTGTCAACAGAGTTTACGTTCTCGAGCAAACTGTAACCGAGTAACCGAATCATTCTCATTACAACTCTGTAGCAACCATGTCGGCTCCGAAATTAAAACGAAGGCAATTTACAGTTAAACAAAAAAAAAAGAAATATTACAGAAAGTTCACGACGGTGTCACCAAATCAGTGGTGTGTAAAGAATATGGCTTGTCTAGTTAAACTCTGTCAACTTTCTTGAAAAATGATGCTAAGCTGAATAAGTTTTCTATTGAAAACATTAATAGAAAAAAACAGAGAACCACGGGAAAAAAGGACCTAGATGAAGCCCTTCTAAAATGGTTCCGAATTCAAAGAAATGCAAACATACCAATTAGTGGACCAATTTTAAAAGAAAAGGCCACTCAATTTGACATTTCGTTAGGTTACGGTGCTGATTTTGAATGTTCTATGAGTTGGATAAACAGATTCAAACAAAGACACAACATAAACGCCGGCAAAGTTGTTGGGGAGGCAAAATCTGTAGATAGCACTGTAACCAGAGATTGGTTGGCTACTTCCTGGCTTCAAGAAAAACGTGGTTATTGTGATAGACATTTTTAAGGCAGACGAAACGGGTCTTTTCTACAAATTAACACCTGATAAGACGTTGAAATTCAAAAATGAAAAGTGTTACGGAGGTAAATTATCGAAAGAAAGGGTAACAGTCTTGGTTTGTGCAAATGTTGATGGTACCGAGAAACGAAAACTACTGATTATTGGCAAAGCCAAGAAGCCCCGTTGTTTTAAAGACATACAGCCTTTACCTGTTACATATCGTGCAAACAAAAGTGCATGGATGACATCAGAAATTTTTACCGAAGAACTTCTGCACTGGGACTCGGAACTTGTTAAGAAAAAAAGAAAAATTCTTCTGGTTGTCGACAACTGTGCAGCTCACCCAAACGTAGCTCATCTAAAAAACATCAAATTGGTATTTCTGCCTCCCAATACGACATCGGTACTTCAACCCATGGACCAGGGAATAATAAATTCATTAAAGTTTCATTTTCGAAAAGCACTTGTACTACACTTGATAGATGTCATGGAAAAGGGAAAAGAAAGTCATGTGACTCTTTTAGACGCCTTTCGCTTTGTGGACCGAGCTTGGAACAATGTTACTCAATCGACAATCCAAAATTGTTTCAAGCATGCTGGATTCGTGGAGAAAGTTACGTCATCTGAAGAGCAATGGCTATGGGATGACGAAGTACCCCTTAGTGAGCTATGTATTTTCTTAAACACTGAAAAAATCAACTTTCAAGAGTTTGTCGAAGTTGACAATTTTGTATGGACAAGTGAAATGCCGACCGACGATGAGATCGTTGATAATGCTTACAAAAATCACAATCCATCGCAAATTGAAACTGCTGAATCTGACGATGACGAAGAAGCTCCACCGACAGAAAAAATCTCACGCCTAGAAGCTAGAACGTGTTTGAGAAAATTGCGAAGTTTTTTAGAAGCTACGAGCTGTGGTGAACAATCTTTCACTTACTTATCAAATCTAGAAAATTTGATTGATGTGAATGTGTTAAATAGGAAGCAAATGAAAATTACAGATTATTTTTAGAATATTTTACGTGCTTACAAATGTATACGTATGTATATGTATATGTATTTATTTTTTCAATAAAACATATTTTTGAGTACACCGTTCGCATATAACGAACTCCGTTTATAACGAGATAATGTGGGAATCCCGTGCGTCCTCGTTATAACCGGATTATACTGTATATACAATTATAACATTGGTATATGGTAGTAACTTATCGTCGAGACCTCGAAGCGAGCAGACGTGTGTCGCGGAGCTCCCGACTTGTGCTCACAGGCATCGATATCTGTCTGTAAAGCTGTGTTTGTGTTTTGTAGTGCAGTGCGTTAGTGAATTTAAATCCTTGTGCCATCATTGTGCTGTTATAGGCGCAATTTCTCCTAGTGTGAAATCCTTGGATTAGAACATCCTTGTTTTGAAGGTAAGTTGCATGATATCCGCCTTTACATCTATCAATCGACCGATCGAAATTTTCGCCGCTCGGATTAACCGGGATTTTAACGAAATTTCTGCACACAAGTGTGGACTTTGAAAATTTTTTCTCTGTTCGCGCGGGAAATCCCAATCCGTCCATCGCTGATTGGTGTAGGTATCTCGGTTAACGTCATTGTTGGTCCCCTCCAGTGTTTTCGGTTGTTTCTTAATTTTTTCGCCGGAAACGCGGGACTTAAGACTATTAATTTTCGAGATTTATCTCGCCAACTTATTCGGGTATAAGTCGTTATTTCGGTTCGTTGTTTGGTTGGTTTCTCCAACTGCTTGCCATCGAAACGAGGAAGGATTTTCTCACGTGTTTGCGTCTCTCTCTCTCACACGAGGGACTTAGAAAATTTTTCGAAGTCCTCGGACTTAAAAAAGTTTTATCGTCCCGGGAAACTTTTGTTGAGTTTTCGGTCGCCACATCATTCGACTTGATTGGTCACTGCACTGTGCAATCCTAGGCTTCGACTTTACGGCAATAAATTTTACTGTTCGCCTACTTCGGAGGTGCGCATTTAAAATCTCGCACGTATCGCGATTTTCTTTTTCTTCATTATTGGCGTCTCTCCCTGCAACGGGTGACAGAAATCGCGATGCACAGGATTTGGGTGGTGTGCTTAAATGCCCTTTTTGTGACGCGACTTACAAATCTAGAGGCGGTCTGCATAAACATAAGACAAAATTCCATCCGCGTTGTTTGCCGCCTTCAATCACATCTACCCAAGTTCCTCCGAATCCCCCTTAGGACACTGCCGACCCCCCTGAGATGAGTAACTCGGTCGGCACCACCTCGCAAGAGGTTTTTAAAACTGGTGCCCAAAATATCTCTGGTAATACCGATGGGTTGCATTCCGGAAACCCGGGCACCAGCTCCGCGAATTACTTCCCGCATCTATGTGACTGCGGGCTCCGATTCCACGACCGCGATTCTCTACGGAAACATCACAAGATATGCCCCGTCTGGACTTCTTCCTCCTGTCGTTTTTGTGAGCGCTCCTTTGATAGCTTCAAAGGCCGGAAAGCTCACGAACAGAAAACGCATAAAACGCAGTGGAACGAGGGGCTGGAAGCTAGACTCTTGGTTTGCCAAGAGGCTAAGAGTAATAGCAACAAAAAGACAATTCCTCCCCCCGAATTGAGAACTGCAGCAAATCCGCTGCCATCAACATCCGCGTGTACTGTTCCGCGCAGGGCTGCAGCGTTGGAGGCGATTAGCCGCGAACTTCCCCCGTAAGAAGTCCAGACTTTTAAGGCGCAAGAGCAGACTCTTATGTCACCGATTTCTGAGGTGGTGACGCACGACGAGTGTCAGATGGAGACGAAGAATAATAACACGAGGAAGACGCCACAATTGATTGTGGCCCCTCGGAGTCACAGCCCAGGAGAACATTTCTCAGATTCCTGGCTGCTCTCACTGGTCTCCCCCTCCTGTCGTGCCCAGGATTGCGCTCTCTGATATTACAGAGAGTGACACGTCGTGCCGGAAACTCTTGATGGCACCTCAATCAACGAAGACACCCTCTCACTTCAGTTACGCCGAATTATCCCCACGTCTCTTGACTCGCTGGGAAAAGATCATAGCCATCTGATCGATGTTGCCAAAGAGGCATTGAAGGGCTCTGTACCCAACATGTCACCGGGCAGTTCTGCTTTGAACAATAAAAGGCCCATTTCATCATCGGCAGCTCCTCCTATTTTTAGGAATAGGGCTCACGCCAAAGCGGCAACCTACTTTAAGCCCAAGACCTCTTTCAAAAGGCGCCGAAATCCCTGGTAGAGCAGATTCTGTCGGGAAAACTGGCCCGTCAAGATCCCAGCGACGTTTCATCGATAGAGGACGTGGTGACGCTCTACGGCAATTTATTAGAGTCTACGCCTGAATATGCGTCAAATCCCCAACTAGAGCAAGCTCCCATAATAGACATCTTTCCGGTGAGCTCTGAAAACGTGGCTTTCGCCAAACAGTTTTGGCCTAATTCTTCCCCCGGGCAGGACATAATTAACGTTCCATCGGCCAAAAGGATACCAGACCTACACCTCGCAGTTTTTTTCAACTGCATTCTGTTAAGAAACGTTCTCCCGACCGCCTGGAGAACTACCAATACCGTTTTGATTCCCAAGAAAGGGAACCTGAAAGATCCAGCGAACTGGCGCCCGATCACGCTCATCTCCGTGCTACAGAGATTGTTTCACCGTATTCTTGTAAATAAGATCAGCCCGCACATCGACCTGCACAGCAGCCAGAAGGGCTTCCGTCGCATCGACGGCACTTTGGCCAACCTCCTCATGTTGGAGTCGTTTATACACGGTAAACGAGCTGCCAAGAGAGAAATATCACCTGCTCTCTCTCGATGTGCGTAAGGCTTTTGACTCTGTTAACCAGGAAGCGGTGATCGATGCTTTAAGAGCTAAGGGCGTCAGTGGAACCCTCTTGAACTACCTTCAAGAATCTCTGATGGGTTCGCAAACGGTACTGAAGGTGTGTACCATTGCTACCAGAACCCTCGAGTATCGAAAAACGATCTGAAGGAGGCAGACAAACTAATCAAGATGTTTGTCAAACGATGGCTGCATCTGCACCTTCACACGCAGGACGCCTCTCTCTTCGCAAAAATTCGCGACGGAGGTCTGGGATTGACGGAGCTTTCCTCGTCCCTTCCGTTCATCCTATTAAAGCGCCTGACCAACTTGGCGGAGAAAGCCCGCGAATTTAAGGACAACAATCTACAAGCGGTTTTGGCGTCCCCGTACGTGACGATGACGCGTGAGAGACTCGAGGCGGTGGTAGGTCCTGAGCCCCCCTCGAACATGTGGCGGCAGAACATAATCAGGTGCACGTTCACAACGGGACTTGAGGTCACTTCTGACGATGCCGCGAGTAGGAGCTGGGTTGACTACCCACCCAAAAACTGGACGGCAAGAGACTGGGTAAGTGCGATTCACTTACGAACCGCCAATTTACCCACGCAAGGTATCCCATCCAACCCAGACCACCTTAAGGGTTGTAGAGATGGTTGCAACGCGCAGGAGACCATCTGCCATGTGCTCCAGAAGTGGGAGATGGCAACATCGACGGTGAAATACCACTACTTTAATCGTTTCTTTACTTACTCGGTGAGGCGGAACGCGTGCGCCGTTCGCTCACGAGCGGCGGCTGTCACGGTGTTCTCGAGCCAAGCGCGGAGAGCTTTTACAAAAAGATGAACGAGTAGAGTACAGGTAGATCAAAATGTGGAGCCTGTCGTTCAAGTCAGTGGTATCGAGAAAGGATACACTGATGCTGATGGATGGAGAATGGGCGTCAATATACTTCCACTTCGCGATTGCCGAATTAAAAATAAACAAAATTATCTTATCAACGACATCAAGTACTGCCCGAACTGTGCTCGCTATAGTAACTTACGTAATGTACCGCATGCCGCGAATGACTCTGAATGCGCTCTTTACAGAAGGCGACTCGAAATCGAGCGTTGCAAGATTAGGTATTCTGACGGTGTGTATTGTAAATCATGGTCACCACACATAATTGTTTCTCTGTTAGGGTGATGTAACAGAATTGCCAGTGCCTTGCATGTAAATGCATAAATGAGGAGCTAATTCAATGGCGGGGATTCGACCGATGATCTGGGCTAACTCTACGGAGGCTAGTCGCGCAAAATCGGTACTACGGGGGCCGGTTGCCCACGGGGGTTTCACCTGTGGCCGGCCATTGGCGTTGGACTCGTAGTGGTGGTGGTTGACCGTATGCTGGTAAGTAGTGCGTTGGGCGTGGTATAGCTCAGCCCGCTGCACCCTGAGTACCGCGAAGTGTGTGAGTTCCGTATCACCTCGGGTACTGACCTGCTTAGTCAGTAGACGATGGATAGTAGTCCCCCTCGTCAGTGGGGCGCTTCGAAGGGCTTACACCCGATGGGCGATTACTCGTAGACTTCGGTCGCGTTGATCGGGCGTATCCCGATCCCTCGCCATATGGGGCCCTGTCATAACGTGCTTGAACAATCCGCTTGAATGTGTCGGACTTTGTAAAACAGGCATACTTGGACTATTTTGGATTTCCATTGCTAACAAATGCCAAGCCCTGGATACCTAGTTTGGTATATAAAAGCTGTGTCGAGTCTTTGCGTTTATGACAAAAGTGAAAGAGGAGTATCCTACAATATCCTTAGTGCTGGACCAAATCAAGTACATGGAACATAAGTGGGTTTTATGTGTAGATATAAAAATGTTCTCAAAATTAAGTAATGAAAAGTTAAAAGCCGGTATTTTTGACGGCCCACAAATCAGAAAGTTAATAAATGATAAAAATTGTATCATCTATACGACAGTTAGCAAGAAATGTACGTGGGAAGAATTTGTTTTGGTGGTAAAACATTTTTTGGGAAATAGGAAATCTGATGGCTACGTTCAGCACGTTGAACAATTAGTAATGCATTGGCAGCGATTTGGATGCAACATGAGTATTAAGCTGCACTACCTTCATAGCCATCTGGACCGTTTTCCAGAAAATCTTGGTGACCTCAGCAAGGAACACGGGGAAC